ACATATCTTAAACACTTGATGTTTTTCTGTTTATTTTTCTAATACTTTGCTTTTATATTTAATATTTTCTAGGGACCTGTTTTTGACTTCACAAACTTTGTGTTCTCCTTTGTTCTATCTGCCTTTAAAATCAAATAAATACTTTATAATTTCAGATTTCTAAAAAATTTCAGACTAAGAATGTCTACATAATTTTTTTTTTTGAGACAGAGTCTTCGTCTGTCACCGAGGTTGGAGTGCAATGGTGGGATCTCAGCTCACTGCCACCTCCGCCTCCCAGGTTCAAGCAATTCTCCTGCCTCAGCCTCCTGAGTAGCTGGGATTACGGGCACCATGCCTGGCTAATTTTTGCATTTTTAGTAGAGACAGAGTTTCACCATGTTGGTCAGGCTGGTCTCAAATTCCTGACCTCATCCCACTTCGGCCTCCCAAAGTGCTGTGATTACAAGTGTGAGCCACTGCGCCCAGCACCACCTGATTTTTTATAGCTTCTAATTTTCTGTTGACATTCTCCCACTCCTCATCTTTTGCTTTACTTTCTTTCTTTTTTTTTTTTTTTTCTAAATTTTATAATTTTTAAAAGCCTACAGCACCCGGTATTTCCAGGCGGTCTCCCATCCAAGTACTAACCTGACCCTGCTTAACCTCCAAGATCAAATGAGATCGGGCGCGTTCAGGGTGGTATGGCCATGGACTTCTTTTATTGATTAATTAAGTATTTTAAAGTCTGAGTCTCCTGTAGAACTCTCTCTAAGTCATTACCTCTACTTTTAGGTAAACTAAAAAATCTCATGAAGAATGAAATCCATTGTATAATGCATACTATAGTCAAAGATTTTGAAAAAGAATTGGTGTCTAAACCATTATTTTTCACTTTTAATCAATAAACATTATTCCTCTTTAGAGGAGGTAAAAAATATGACCCATATTAAATATACTGAAAATAAATGTTATTAAACACCATTAAATGATGACTAGTTCTAAATCTCTCTATCTTCTTTGCACTTCAGAGCAAAAATAATGATAGCGTTTGTTATGACTTCATATTTCTTTGAAATATTGACTGAAATAAATTTCCAATTTGGGGAATAGATAAGAACTAATGCCATTTGGTTTTAAACAGAATTGTGTTGTAATCATCAAGCTAAAGGCACAGCAGAAAAAATGACAGCATTACTGGAAATTTGCCTCAGTCTACTTACTGTTCACCATTTAATTAGACCTTTTGAATTCTGGCAGAAAGCTTAAGGAATTCATGGATCCACCTCGTAAGCACTTCAAAGAAGCGCTAATACACTGGACAGTTAGAACAATGGCAGTGGAACATCTTATTTAAACTTTTGACATAATAAAATAATATTTTTTTCTTGTTTTGATAACAATATCATTTTTTTTTTTTTGAGACGGAGTTTGGCTCTTGTTACCCAGGCTGGAGTGCAATGGTGCGATCTCCGCTCACCGCAACCTCCGCCTCCTGGGTTCAGGCAATTCTCCTGCCTCAGCCTCCTGAGTAGCTGGGATTACAGGCACGCGCCACCATGCCCAGCTAATTTTTTGTATTTTTAGTAGAGACGGGGTTTCACCATGTTGACCAGGATGGTCTCGATCTCTTGACCTCGTGATCCACCCGCCTCGGCCTCCCAAAGTGCTGGGATTACAGGCTTGAGCCACCGCGCCCGGCGGTAACAATAGCATTAATATTTTATAGTTGTCGCATAGTACAATGTTTGAAGATTAAATTAAGCAAGCGAGCACCATAATACACTTTAAATAAGAGTGCTATAACTTTCACAGGCACAATTTCAAGCAAGACCAGTCAACCCTCATTATTCATTAGGATTAATTCATACAAGTTAGCATACTAATAAGTAGCACTTTGCAAATACCTCTTATCTACCGACTTGCCATATAGGTCTTGGGACAAATATTTTATTTTAGAATAGTCATATGGAAACTATAAACACGGTGACTGTTCATCAGTATATTGTGAAATTTTTTTCCCGCCTTCATTTTTTTTTTTAAGTGGAGAAATGATTTTCTAAAAAGTCTGAGTCTTCTAAGCATAGCTCATCTCCTGGTAAGAACTGCAATGTCCCCATTGGTTAATAATGCGATCGCAAGCCAGCCTTTTCTCTCTTCTGTACGATACAAACAAAATTTGTTTAAAGAGCAAGCCGAAGAGCAGGGGAAACCTTTCATACTTCATAGGGCTTTAAGGAATTTTATTTCATAGAACTGTGGGAGTGCCAGCCAAAGAACTTCCGGTATGAAACGTTCCGCTGCCTTTATGGAGGTGGAAACTGGCAGCCAACCACCTTGGCCATGCTTGGTGGGCAAGCAGGGAGACGGTGGCTTCGCAGACAGCACAGGACAAAGGCCTTTGGATAGAGGCGGGGGCTCGTGGACTGGAAGAGCCAGAGACTTCACTAGTACAGAGCCCAAACTTCAGCGAGAAAGCCGGGGTGCGCGCGTGGGCGCAGGAAGTGACGTAGACCTGCTGCGTCAGGCTTAGGCTCAGGCTCTGATGGCAGCAGCTGCACGCCTACCTCCTCGAGTTCCTGAAGGTTAGAGCCTGCGTCTTTTTTGTTTTTATTTCTAAATTTCCCGCCTTTTCCCTTCATGTTGGTCATTTGCTGTTGTTATTTTCAGCATGTTTTATAATTTTCAATCAAGTTTCAGAATATAGATGGCTACTGTACATTCTGTATATGATGTTCCCAGAAAAGTGCTTTTTGTGTTTCAGTTATAAAGCACTTCAGTGAATGATTTTGATCCAGTTGAGACTTGGTTTTAAGCTTTGTTATGCTTGACCTTTTTAACTTGTTACTTATAGGATGTGACCATTCATCTTAGAAAGTGGCTTTGCCCAAGTCCTGGACACTCCTTCTGGGTTGAATTCTAAGCTCTAACTCCACAGTGCCGTTCAGCTGCTGAAACTACTGCTCAGCATTTGAGCTGTTTGCTGTTTCCTGCTACATATTTTGAAGGTTTCCCTTGTACATGCACAAGTCAGAAGTTTACCTACAATTTGAGGCAAATGATGCAGATTTGGGGACACTCTCTTAGCTTCCTGTCTTTTCTTTCTTTCTTTCTTTCTTTTTTTTTCCAAAAGATAATTTATTTTTATTTATTTTTTTAAATTTTCTTTTTTTTATTGAAATTTTAGGTTTTGGGGTACATGTGAAGAACATGCAAGATGGTTGCATAGGTACACACATGGCAGTGTGATTTGCTGCCTTCCTCCCCATCATTTATATCTGGCATTTCTCCTCATGCTATCTAGTTTGCTCTTCAGATAGTATCCAGTTTGGCATCCTGAAATGCCAGACTTTGTCTCTTCTGACGTGTGAGACTCCTGCTTTGTTCTTGGGCTCTTTTCATCTTCACCACAATTTGGAAAATGCCTTCAGGAAAGTTCCGAGGTGAATGTTGAATACATCTTGTTGCTTTCCTTTCTCAAGGATTCTAGCTGCTCAGTGTTGCTTACACCGGCTTTCCAATGCCTTCACTATATATGTATATGTATATGTATTTCTAATTTTTAAACTTATCTTTGTAGAAGATTTAGTTGAATGTAAACTACACTGTTGAGTCCAGGGCGCAGCATTTTATCCAGTGAATTTTAATTTGAACAGTTTTATCATTTCTTAGTGTTATTTTTAAAATTGTTTTTAATGTGTACCCAATCATTTTAAAAACTTTTTTCTTTCATGTTCCCTTTGTCTTGCTTTAAACCATTTATCTGTCTATCTATCTATCTATATTTATGTTTGGATTCAAATAATTTCAAAAATTCCCTCTCTCTCTGTATTTTTTTCTTTGCATGCTTGTGATTTCTAGTATTAACCGCAGGTAACTCGATGTCAATTTATGGAAGTTTTACATTTGAGAAACTTTCACTTGTAGGAAATTTGTAAACAATAAATTATGTGCTTTTTTCCTTATTTATTCTTGGTCTAGGTTTTAGGCAAGAGGGTCTTTGAGAATTTCCAGCCTAACAAAATATACTGCTTGAAGCAGAAAGTTATACATGTTAATTTTGAATTGTGCTCTCCATGGAAAACTTTAAAAGAAATAAAAATGTTTAGTGATGAATTTATGTTCACGAAGCTTCTCACTTGTATGCTTTAGCTGCAGAAATTCAAAACTCATCTTATTAAACTTTTTTATTTTGCAAAACTGTATATTTTAGAGAGAAATATATCCACCAGTGAGCTGAAATTTAATTAATTGTAAAGCATTTTTCTTATTTAACAAAAAGAAGAATGTCTTTTTTTTCCATGATTCAATAATTGAATAAGTGAAAATAAGCTTTGGTTCAGTTGGAAACTTATGATAGATTGGTAGGTGAATTATTTATCAATGAAAATGAATTATCTATAAAACTACCCAAAGCAGTCCAATACTGTCACTTGGTAGACAAATTTGGCATGATTAGAATCAACATATTTGAGATATGTAGGCATGATCTACTTAATCATATTGAGACAGAATGGAAAGAAATGAGACCTGAAACTACACATTTCTGTTCTGTTTGGGCAGGTTCTCAGGGTGGTAGATGAGGAAGAAGGTGGAGGACAGGACAGAGATGAAATTTTGAGAGAGAGTCCAGTCTAGAAGGTAGGATCCTATACGCCCCTTGACTGCTAGGCCATTGAATATCATTCAACTGCTACTTCCAAAGTACTTTCACAATGCCCTATGACGTGATAGTTGCTCGAAAATATTTTAAATGAAAAAATAAAAGAATAATAGAAGAGTCTAAAAATATGACAACAAACACCTCAGTCTCTAATAAGCTATTACAGGTTTCTCCATAATAGGGAGATATCTGCCTGAAGAACTGACTAAATTGATCCAATAACTGGGTGACCTCTCCCTTGATCAAAGTATAAATGGACATGAGCAACTCTGAATCTCATTTTGACCATAATAAATGAATATTTTTAAGGTCCGTCTTTCCCCACCTGATAATGACAAAACCAACTTTGTTATTATTATTTTTGGTATGATAAAGCTTGCACGTATTAATTCATCTAATCCTCACACCGGCTCTGTGAGATAGATGCCATTAGTAAGAAAGGTGAAACCAGCACTCAATTATGATACCCCCACCCATTTCAATTACATTGCCATTACTCACCTTATTATAGCCTAACATAGGTTACCATAGAGTGGTTCTAAATTTCAAAGGCAAAAATAGCCAAAGATTTGAATCTAAAGTAGCATGCAGAATATATTCCTGATTATCTTTCAAGTCTTCTGTTAAGTATAGAAGGAAATAGTGAAGCAAATTCTGGAAAATTTGCTGCATTAGTAACTTACTAATGCTGACAACTGTTTCTTGAACCCAAAATCATATGTTGATCAGTGTATTTTATCAACAGCGTCTTAGGTCTCTTTAGAGAGTGCCTAGACATTAGTATCTTCCTTGCAAGAAAAGAGAAAATAATGCATGAGCAATTACATCTTACAGTATATCAAGCACTGTGCTAAGTGCTTTACATATAACATGCAATTTAATTATTAGAACCGTTCTGTGTACTAGATATAATGGTCTTAGTTTTTCGATGAGGAAATTGAGAAAAATTAAATATCTTGCCAAAAGTACCTACCTGAGATACTAACCTTTTTGTTCACAAATTCCTAAACTTGGTTAAATGCAGATTTATTGTCATAAATTATATTGTCTTGCTATTTCTCTAAGCAATTAGTGCAAAAATAAAACAAGGAATTGCCTCTGAACTGATGGTCACCTCAGTCAGGGGTGGCTTCATTCCCCAAAGTACTGCAGTATAATGTGCATTCTTAACCAAATCACTGGTCATTTCCTGTGGAAAAATAATTGGAATGTGTTATATTTAGAGAACGACATGTTCATTCTTATAAAAATATTCAACTCTTTTCTCTGTATTATACTCCTTGGTATCTTTTCATCTTTTTATTTCAGAACCCATTCCAAGCTTCTAACCAAAACCTTTTAGGCTTATAATTTTTGGCTATGCTTCATGTTACATGACCATGGGAACCCGATGACTGCCTTTTGGAAAGCTGTGCGATTTTACTATAAAAGGAGTCTTTATGGATTCATAACTGGTGATGGCCTGTCAAGGATTGATTTTTCTCTGGCATTTTTCCATAGGCAGTCCCTCCACACTCAGCCATGAGCACTCCTGGTTTTCATTCCATGGGCTGTGAACTGTAGTCTCTCTTAAATTCCTTCTTTTTCCAGTTTCTACATGCTGTGAACTTGCTTTGAGAAGGGGTTTAAATCTATAGGGTTGAGTAGGTGAGTGGGTGGCTGGGCAGGGTACGTGATGTTAACACATTCTGTGTTTTCCAATCCAAAGGATAAAATATCAGGAAGGAAATGGAACTCTCATAAAGACGGGAAAAGGAATAGAACAACCTTAGATAAAATGCAAATGTTTTTTGAATCTTCTCCCATTCTTTTGCTTTTCTGTCCTTCCTCTTTTGGCATCTTCCTATCTTCCTCCTGAAATGCCCCATTCTTTTTGGAGCTTCTCACTAGGACAGTCACCTGGAGGGGTTGTTTCAACACAGATCACAGAGACTGTCCTCCAGTTTCCAATTCTGTAGGTCTGGGGTAGGTTTTGAGGATTTTCATTTCTAACAAATTCCTAGGTGAAGCTGATGAAGCTGGCCCAGGGCCACACTTTGAGAACCACTGGCCTTGGAATGTGTTTTATCAACTTAATATGTTTCTTTCTTTTCTCTCCTTCCTTCCTTCCTTCCTTCCTTCCTTCCTTCCTTCCTTCCTTCCTTCCTTCCTTCCTTCCTCTCTCTCTTTCTCTCTCTCTCTCTCTCTCTTTCCCTCCCTCCCTCCCTCCCTCCCTTCCTTCCTTCCTTCCTTCCTACTCTCTATCTCTCTCTTTCTTTTCTTTCTTCATTCAATTAATGTCCAGGCAGTGCCTTAGACATTGCATACTTCCCACATAATCCAGCTTTAGTGATGGGCACTGAGTAGGTCTTCAGTAAATTTTAAAGTGTTGTGCAACGTACATTTCTCCAAGTCTCACTAGCCCATGGCTACCAAGCATTCTTAGGCAGGAGTGATTTGAACTGCACTGACTTTCACCCTCTGTTGTGTAAAACAAGACCTCCAGCACCTCTCTAAAAAGCACTTATTGTGTCCTAGGGATGCCTTGTCTTATAGTTCATGTGCTTAAAATCCTCTACAATGCAAGACTCTCTCATGGATGTTTACTCTCTGTGCAGCTACTTATGGGCAACTTACTGCTGCACCTGCTGCTGTTGCTGCCTTCTATGGTAACCATGAAGTCCACACCATGGGAGCTACTCACCAGTGCTCCAGAAGTTGCAATACCTGAGAGGTAATGGAGAGGATGAGATGCTCCATGAGCCTGCATCACATTTCCTCATCTTGCAAGCCAATGGCTGCTGATGCTTTGATATTGCATAGAGTAATATATGAAAATATTTCCATCAGTGCCTTCCTGTAGTTCTTCTTTTCTGGTGCTTGAATCCGTAGCACCAGGGAGGTGGGGATGGGTGAATGGGTAGGGTATGTAACATTAACACATTCTTTTCCAGTTCAGTTTCGCTATCAATCCTTAAAACTTGTGTATGTAGTTACATACCCCAACATCTTATCAGATATGCTACATATATCTGAATCACAGTAGGTGATCCAACTCAGTTTCAAAACTACCAGATTCAAATGAATAAAAGATTCCAAATTTTTCTCTACATTGTTCTCCTGCACTCTAAGGTGTTTGTTTATAGTACCAATACATCTATAACGTTCCAGATTTAATCTAGTCAAGCCAGGGGCCTTTCCTTCCCTTAAGTGTACTCTGTAGATTGTTTTCTTTTACAGAAACTATACCTTAGGCGAGGAGAGAAAAAATAATTTGTTGTTCTGCACTAGTTTCCTGCAAGGAGCCCAAGGGTTGAGACAGCTTCATCCAATCTTTATTCCTTTAAAAAGACAGAAAACTGCTGCTATGTGGGTTGTTCTGTCTATGCCAGGAGTGACCTAGAGCCAGTGTGTCTGTTCTGGTTTCTCCTCTGTGTGTGTGGCCTGGGGACAGAGATAGAGCAGGGTATAGAAAAACTGAGTGCTCACTTCTGAAACAGAGAAGCTTAGTTGTCTCGATTGCCTGGGGGATTTTTGAAGAAACCCAGGGCAACCTCCAGTTTTCCTAATTCTTACTTTATTCTATGATGACTCTATGAATTATCAGGTTTTACAACTATAAAACAAATGCAAATTATTCTAACATGCATAACTCACCTAATAAGAAGTGAAATAATAACTTTATAAATACCTATCATTAAAAATATATGTCAAATTGGCTGTCAGACATTTCATCTGTTTACCATATCATGGTATGCTCATGCAAACATTGCTCAGTTTCTGGTCACATGGCAGAACCATCCTAACACAGACACAACATCAAATAATGAAACAAGCCTTTCTAGGGAAGTGAGGCAAATGGATTATTGCAGGAGATTTCCCTACTAGAAAAACAGAGGACGGTGTATGGTATAATATTAGACAGAGGAGAGAATATCTAATACCATGCAGTGCTAGGCATTTTATCTGCTGGAAATATGCCTGTTTGGTGTTCTTTTGGTCATCTATGAGTGATTAGGCTATGGCACTTAATGTTACTTCATAGATTTGTAAGACCAGTTCTTAGGGGACAGGTGATTTTCTCCAAAAGTGCTTCTCCTGCTGCAAATAGATGTACTAGTGTAGGTCAACAGAAATGATGTCCTTAGGGGTAAGCAATCAAGTGTCAGATAAAAGTGCACATATTTAATTATTTATTTCATTGTACTTTAGGTTCTGGGGTACACGTGCAGATCATGCAGGATTGTTGCATAGGTACATACATGGCAATGTGGTTTGCTGCCTCTATCCCCCTATCACCTATATCTGGCATTTCTCCTCATGTTATCCCTCCCAACATCCTCACTCCCCACTGTCCCTCCCCTATCCCCACCACAGACCCCAGTGTGTGATGCTCCCCTCCCTATGTCCATGTGTTCTCATTGTTCACATACCTATGAGTGAAAACATGCGGTGTTTGATTTTCTGTTCTTGTGTCAGTTTGCTGAGAATGATGGTTTCCAGATTCATCTATGTACCTACAAAGGACATGAACTCATAGTTTTTTATAGCTGCATAGTGTTCCATGGTGTATATGTGCCACATTTTCCTTGTCCAATGTATCATCGATGGGCATTTGGGTTGGTTCCAGGTCTTTGCTGTTGTAAACAGTGCTGCAATGAACGTACATGTGCATGTGTCTTTATAATAGAACAATTTACATATTTCTATAAAATATAACATAGTCAATATAACTTCTTTTGCATACAGTTCAAAAGGCAGATGTAGTATAGAGTACTATTTAACACTTTTATGACAAAACTTCAAAGATTATTAACTTAAAATTTTTTCAGCAGCAGGACAGGACAGGACAGCTTGGTGCTATCCAGGCCTGTTGTTGGAATGGATGGCAAAGGTATTAGCAAATTCCATACAATAAGTAGGGCAAAGGTTGTACCCAGGAACCTAGGCTAATGCTGGGATTATAATTATAGTAGGGTTATGGGTCCTAGAAATCAGGAATGTGAGGAGCAAGGGATAGGGGCCCCCAGTGGAAGGGTCTGGGTAACAGTGAACCAGGAACAAGGCGTCCATCTGCAGGTCTGCAATCTGTGCAACAAGCATGGGTCAACAACGGCGAGGAAAACTTTAGTACTTAGCTTCTCGGTGATTGGAACCCTTAAATATTGTCCTTTGCTTTCCCAAGCACTCTCAGAAGATGGCCAAGCTGCTGCACAGTCGCAGCAAGTTACCTGACAGGAGTAGGGGAAATGAGAGTGCTGGGGGTGGAAAAATGAGGCCCGATTCACTATCTAGTCTGGTCCAGGAGTTGTGCCAGACTGAAGGCAAATAACCTTGACCAAACTAGGATCTTATAATTGGAAGCCTAAAAGGATTTACAGATTACTTTGTTGCCAGTGAAACCTAAGACGTCATTTAACTGTGAAAAGGTGTTAATTTGCTTCTAGAACTAAGTATTTAACTCATAGGACAGTGAATTATAACTCTGCACATTGTAAGTAGGATTCCTGGGCCCTACTTCAGATCATATAGACTCTCTGGGAAGATGGATGGGGCCTAGACACTCATATATTTTAAAAATCTTCAGGGATTTTACTGTTCTTTAATATTTAAACTTAATTTTTAAATGACTGAAGTAACATGCATTTTTTATTGTAAATAAATTATTAGTCCTACTCTCCTCCTATATAGATTTATAACGTATATACAAGGTATAAAGAATATAAAATAAACAGCTACTCACTTACCACCTTTTCCAATTTGATTGAAGGATAAGCTATATATAAATATGGAAAAGTACAGAAATCACAAATGTATAGTCAATGTGTTACCTCAAAATAAACATACTTCTGTAAATCCCATCTAAATGAAGAAATAGAATATTCCCACAATCCTGTCTCTGCTCATGTTGTTTCTCCATCACCATCCTTGCCCCTCCATCTCCATAAAGATGTGAAAAGGTCTCTAGGTAATTCTAGTGGGCCCTATCATTGTCTTACTGTCTACTCTTTCACTTAATTTCCGTCATTTTTTTAAGAAGAGAAAATACTTTAGACATGAGGATTATTAATTTCTCTGATCTAATAATATTAATAATAATGAATGCTTTGAGTTCTATATGCGCACTCACAGATTATATTGTAAGTTATACATGAATGTTGTATTGTGGCAACAAATTTTCAAACTAACACTTGTTCAAGAAATTTTGCTTTATTTATCTAAAACGAAATTAAACTTCTCTGTATTCCACGCTACCTGATGGCAGAAAATGTCTTTCCTTTCAGTTTTAATAGAGACCATAAGCAATTGATGGGAATTGCTTCCACATTCCAAAATGAGATGTGGATCTGCTGTTCTAAGGGAGGTGAGCTGCTGCATTGGGAAGTCTGTGGTTTTTGGAGCAAATGGTGGTGACCACGTCCATTGGATCACTTGTGTACACAGAGGCCCAAGTGAGAAAACCAGCCTCCGGGTCTACCTAAATGCTACCTCAGAGAACAGCCTGGAGAGATGAGGTGATCTCAACAGAACAGGGGGCTACCAAGTTTGTTTCAAGGGACTGAGGGGCTATCAACAGCCAGCCAGAGAGATGCTTTGATAGTGGTGTCTTTGAAGCGACTGCAAGATGCTGATCGCAGAGTCAGCTTTACACACCTACCAAACCTGGAGAGCTTATAAGCTAGTTCACAGCAATATCAATGGAGTAGGAAGGCCATTTCTGCCATTATTGCTTCTCTTTTTCTGCTACATTGGAACAGCCAGAGCCAAACTCAAAGTGGGGTGAGTGGTTAAGGAATAAGAGCTCTAAGTAGGAACAAAAAATAATCTAAGATGCATCCCCTCTGTCTCTTTTCAGTAGATTTTGGTTATGCTTTTTGAGGGACTACTGTCTTCTGGAGAAATTCTGAAAATGTAAAAGAAATTTTAAAAATTGACTGTGATACAGAATCAAACATGTTAATTAGTTTATGTATATTACATGTCTGTATGTCTATGGCTAACAGCTGGAGAACTTTTTAAAAAATTTAAGTGTGACTAGAAAAGTTATGGGGCCTGCCTGAGTTTCCATTTAAAAATGTGGCAAACAGGCATCAGGCCACAGGACAGGTTTCGGTGGGCAGTGGGGGTAATCACTAAAATTGTTTTCTGATTATGTCTGACAAGCCCTGCTTATCCACTGTATTGGTTATATCAGTGTCTTGGCTGTAAATAATTCAGTGTGCTTATCCCCAATTCTACCATGAGAGCTTTGCTGTGGTGCAGCGGTGACTATCTGCCGAGGCCTGGGCTGAGGAGAGGGGCCTCCAAGCAGTTTAATGAGGCATCATGCGGGATAAAAACAAACACTTTGCCGAATATTTCAAACGATCATTCCAAGGCCGCTATCTCATTTAACCATCACGAGAAACCGATGGAGTAAGTGCTGTTATTTTCCTTCTCTTACATAGGGGGGAAATTGAGGCTTAGAGAGGTAAGATTACTTGCCACAGGGGGACCACATGTAAGAGGTAAATGAGGAGAACTTAAAGTCAGGCTTTCTCCCTTTGCAGCCCGTTCTCTGAATATCACAGTTCAGAGCAGATAGTGTAGCCTCCACTAATCCCTATTGTGGCTATAGCAGGAGACAGTGTATTGTTCTTTTTCTAGGAGACATTTTTGGTGTGGGGGCGGGAAGGTAGGTCAACCAAATTTACGAACTCACGCAACTCTACCTACCTCCTAGGCATTTCTCTATGAAAAAAATAGCTCTAAAAACAGCTAGAGGAGATGTCTGCTTATTGTAACTGGTCTCCGCCAAAGGCTTACTTTCAATTTTTTTAGAGCCAGGTCAGTTATTCCTCTGACTGTGAAAATAATAAGATGGTTATAAAATGCAGCTTTGGTATAGTTTCCTTGCAAAAAGTTTACATTTCCTATCTAGAAAATAATTCTGTGTGTATGGAAATGTGTGCTTGAAGAGTTTTTGAGCACAAATAAAATTGCTTTGATGCCCGAATTCTCACAACGTTTAGCCAAAATACGCAGGTACTTTAGGCTACTGTCAATATTGGGATTGCTCCTTCTCGTTCCTCCATGTGGCAGGACTTTTAAAGAGGAAAAAAGGACTGATTTTGAGGTGCTGAAATAATAGCCATATTATAATTTTTGTCAAGTTACCACTTGGAATTTTATTCTCTCCCTCCATATATATTCCAACTCCTTGCTCTTTTTTGCATTGTAAAATATAATATTTTTAGGATTATACACCATATGCTAATCTTTTACCCACTCACCAGTATCACAACCTTCTTTTTCTGTGGGGAGGAAAAATCCCTGTCCCCTTTCTGTCTTCTTGCTTTTTGATTCGATTTACCATAGTCTAATTGAGACCCCCAAGGTCATCAGCCCCTGCTTTTGTTGCCAGGACATGCAAACCACCCAGGCCAATCCCTAACCTGTTTTTTGAAAAAGCCTCCAATCAGAGAGAATCCACGACTTCTTTTTGTGAACTGTGGCACCGTGCAACTGCACACTATAAATGTCTTTCCTTATCTATGTGCACTGTTATCTCACTGTTCTATTTTTTCCCCTCATTTATATTAACTCTTTCTTACCTTTTTTTTTTCTCCCTAAACTTCTAGGCCTTCTCTTCCCGGAACTGGTGGAAGATAAATGTTACTCTGTAAACGGCCAAGATGGTAAGGTGAGTAGTTCCTGGGATCACTTGTGCCCTAACCCCAAGTTATCTGGGATACTCGAGGGGTTATGGCATTCCTCATTTTACAAGTTACTTACTTGGCTAAGGCTGCTCCACCAAGCTAAGCAAACACTCCCAATCTTTTGAACTTCATGAGACTGACATTTCTGAGTCTGTTTGCAAACTGGACGCTAGAGGGCTCCCAGGGGTTAAGAATAAGGGGAAAGTTATTTGAATGAAAACTGATTCTCTACGGCATTTCTTTTTTCAGAATTTAAAACTAAAGTTTATTTTGTTAACTATTGTTTTCAAAAGCCTTATACCTCTTCAAACCATGCAGCGATCTGTTTACAAGTTTTGCTTTGCAATCAGCAGTTTTCAAGGGAGCTTTTAAAGCTGAAGTGAAATGTTTGAAATGTGGAACACTCTTGACCATGAAATATGTTCTACTTACATGCCTCAGCCTTTAAAAGTTCTTTGCATTAGAGTCAGGGATTACATTCTTCTTGGAGCCAAGCATGGGACCAGCTGTGTAAGTAAGGTTGCTTATGAGTTTCTTCTTTTTCTTTTTAATAGTGAAAAAACAGACTAGAGATGCTTTTATTTTCTTTCAGCTGACTTCAGTGGAAAGAAAAGAAATAAAAAGCAGTCAGATTTGTGTTGTGTTGTGTGTGTGTGTGTGTGTGTAACACAGAAAGAGAGAGAAATAGAATAAATGTAACTGCTTCCAAGATATATGGACATTTATGGCTTTGTATTATGCTAACAATGTAAGCTAATGGAACGTATTAATAAAGAAAAAATTGTGCCATTAGATTAAGAGAATATGTTTCTAAATTTTATTGTTAATACTTGGTGCTTGTACTTAGTTAACTCAGGACTTTAAAAATAAATGTGGTATAGTTATAGGGTTTTAAAAAACCATCTATTACTTGTCTTAAGTCATTTCTGAATTTCAAAAAGGAAAAGCCTAGGCTTGTCACATTTTAAAGCTTTTGCTTCAGAATCAGCTTAAAGACTTTAGGTACAAGTTAGAAAATACTCCTGAATTTTTGTAGCTTGTTTTCACTACTTTAAAGCGATTATCAAATCTATACATCTATCTTGTTTCCATGTTTTTAAATTTTATTTTTAAAAACATTTAGTGGTGATATTTATGAAAGGAAATGATTACTTTTTTCTGTACTTTGTAGAGGAACTGAAATGTTTGAGATTGTGACTCAGTTAACTCTGTACCCATTCATTCCCAGAAGCAAGCCGCATTTCTCCTTGGGGAGGCTGATAGTTTAAAAGGTTTGTTGTGTCAGAAACATTCTCAGCTTCATCACCAATCCTTTCCTTCCACTTCTACCCACTGGAGACCACTTAGATCCCGAAGCGGACGCGACAGCTGAAGTCAGGAAACCATGCATCACATTAGCAGGAGCCAACTGCAGAGTTTAAACTCCTTTCAACATGTGGATGCAGCAGAGAAATGACCTGTCCAGACAAGCCGGGGCAGCTCATAAACTGGTTCATCTGCTCCCTGTGCCTTCCACGGGTGCGTAAACTCTGGAGCAGCCGGCGTCCAAGGACCCGGAGAAACCTTCTGCTGGGCACTGCCTGCGCCATCTACCTGGGCTTCCTGGTGAGCCAGGTGGGGAGGGCCTCTCTCCAGCACGGACAGGCAGCCGAGAAGGGGCCACATCGCAGTCGCCACGCCACCGAGGCACCCTTCCCTGAGATACCCCTGGATGGTACCCTGGCCCCTCCTGAGTCCCAGGGCAATGGGACCACCCTGCAGCCCAATGTGGTGTACATTACCCTACGCTCCAAGCGCAGCAAGCCTGCCAATATTCGCGGCACCGTGAAGCCCAAGCGCAGGAAAAAGCATGCAGTGGCATCGGCTGCCCCAGGGCTGGAAGCTTTGGTCGGACCATCCCCTCAGCCTCAGGAAGCTGATGCTGGAGCACTTAGGGATGCTCAGGGAGGAAACCTGGCCAAGATTGGAGAGCGACCCTGGAGGTTGGTGCGGGGTCCAGGAGTGCGAGCGGGGGGTCCAGACTTCCTGCAGCCCAAGGCCAGGGAGAGCAACATTAGGATCTACAGCGAGAGCGCCCCCTCCTGGCTGAGCAAAGATGACATCCGAAGAATGCGACTCTTGGCGGACAGCACAGTGGCAGGGCTCCGGCCCGTGTCCTCCAAGAGCGGTGCCCGCTTGCTGGTGCTGGAGGGGGGTGCACCTGGCGCTGTGCCCCGCTGCGGCCCTAGCCCCTGTGGGCTTCTCAAGCAGCCCTTGGACATGAGTGAGGTGTTTGCCTTCCACCTAGACAGGATCCTGGGGCTCAACAGGACCCTGCCGTCTGTGAGCAGGAAAGCAGAGTTCATCCAAGGTAACAGATTCATGTGCTTCATTATTTGCAGCTGTTGGGGATTCGGGTTCATTTTCTCTTTTTCTAAATGATTTTTCTCCACCCACGTTTCACATTTGGACAGCAGCAGCAGCAGCAGCCTTTCTTTCCATGCGCTTGGCATTCTGTATTTTCCCAGCCCGGGAGGATATGAGAGTTCCAGGGAAATGCTGTATTGGACATGCAAGAGTAAGCCCATACTGTATAATCTTTGCTCTCCATTTCCCTCTGCTGCACTTCCCAGTGGCTTATTAAATCTAATTAAAGCCAATGGCAGTTTACGTGATGAGGAGAGGAAGCTAGGCTGGAGGCAAAGAACTTGCTGTCAGGCATACTATTAAATAGGTTACTATGGGAGGAAGCAGGAGTTTTTAAAAGTAATGGGGAAGCAGGTTATTTTTCTGGAGCAGATGGAATCTTCTTAAGAGGCACGGAGCCAGACCATGTTAGGTTCAACCCCTTGCTTCCCCACCCCCAGTGGATTTAACCCCTTTATTTAACAAATAAAAAGAATGAGACAAAAATAGACGATTTGTTCAGTATGTATACTAACTAGCTGTGTGGTTTTATCAAGCCCATCACGATGGTCCATTGAGCCTGTCTTTCAAGAGTCTTTCTTCTTGGGTGACAAACATTTTGGCAGGTTCTAACACATGTAGCCAGTTACTGCAATTGCCAACAAAAAGGTTGGTCTGTGATCATGCCCATGCCCTATAAAGGATATTCTCTGAATATTAAAGCTATTCCAGGGTTTGAATACAAAGTACAGTGAATCAGTGGCTTGTGTTTGAATGCAGAATGATGCCAGAGTTTACAACTTTGAATCTAGACTGGCCCAAGAGGCTAAAACATACCCCAAAGAGATTATAAGCTCAAAGGATACTTACTTTCTTCATGTTACCATGAAATTTAGCATTTCAGTGAGGTTCCCAGGGAGCCTGGAATGGAATGGATTACAACCTCTGGGAGTGGCTGAGACCCAAACTGCATTTTGAATGGCTTTAGCATTGTAATTTCATTTTAGAATGGATGCTTCTTGAAGTACCAGTGATTTACTTAGAAAAATCGGACATTCCTTAAAGATCGTGGTTCTTGTCTAGGTGCTCCAGATTCACAGGTATGTTTTGATGTTTCAAGTTTACAAAGCAGTCCACCACAATTATGCCAAAGTAAGAAACCCTCTCAAACATTTAATCTAATGTTGATAAAAATGAATTTTTATTCGGTGCCTACAAATTGCTAAGGATTACACAAATTGATTCATGTGTGTTGGCTCCTAGAGTTCTCATAACAATGCTATGAGGTAGGGACTATTATTATTTCCATTTAGTAGATGAGAAAATTGAGGCTTTTTGAGGCAAAGTAATTGGCCTCAACTCCACAGCTAGTGAGTGGCTAAGCTGGGTTTTGACTGTAGGCCCAGCAAACTTCAGAACATAACTTCTTAGCCTCTGGACTTATGTGAATATGTAACTTATTATCCAAACTGGAACTCTGTGGGTGAAAGGAGATGCTGGTGGGCATTGGGACAGCAGGCGCACAGCGGCTGTTCTGGGCAGAGTAGGGCGCAGGATCCCCCTTGTTATGCTATATTGCCATTTATTTTCATGTCATAAAGGCCCAGAGAAGAGAAGATGAACTCCTGGGTGCATCCTGAGGCAGGGTTCTCTGATAGTCTTTTGAGCCTCCTTTACATGCTCTTTGATAGAAGTTTGTAGAATACAGTAGCAGCTAAGAGCCTGGGCCCTCGAGTTGGACTAACTAGGTTTGACCTTACCAACCATATTTGACCTTTCCAATATGCCTTGGAAACGTTACTGTGTCTCTTTATGCCTCAGTTTCCTCAGCTGTAAAATGACAATACTGCCTACCATATGAGATTGTTGTTAGTTAATACATGGAAAACACTTAGAACCAGTATTTAGCACAAGGTAAACCTTCAATAAATATTGGTTATTATTATTATACCAAGTACATGAGGTACCAAGTTCATTGAATTCCTCACGTAACCTCCAAGTCTCGTATATTATTTCCTTAGGTGCTCGGACTGTGACTAAAACTGCTCAAATACACTTTTGTAATCACAATTTCTCTTAGATATTTAGTTCTTTGCTCTGAATTTCCGGCATCTTTGAGAATAAAAATTCAATTTAAAGGAGGGGTTTATAATCTCAATATAGCCTGGATAGTTCTCTCTCCGTTCATGTGGGAGTGGTAATGGAAATAAACTAATAGGTTATACTAATATGACTCGATTTAATGAATTAAATCCTCAAGATTATATCCCAGACAACATTGTCTCTTTGATACCTTCGTCTACTTAGTCATTTAGAGTCGCAAAGTCAGGACAGTGGCTTCAGGAGCTTATGAAATCATTTCCATATAGTTACGCACACTCTACACAATATAATTCTACTCAAACAGACTGTAATA